GTGGCATGAGGGCCAGGCCGAGAAGGCTAAGTGACAATCGCACCACAGCCCCTCAGTGCCCGCAGACTCCACCCTGTGTGTGTAAAAATCTCACCTGATGATCCCTCCCCAGCCTTGGAGGATGCCTGGGAGACATCCACGCCCTGGAGTACCAGCTCCAGGATGATGGTGGTGATGGTGCTGCCCATCTCTTCCTCCTTCTCCAGCTCCTCTTCCTCCTCCTGGCCTGGGACCCCTGGGCAGGCAATGGCAGGCATCTCCTGCCCAGAGTTCACCACCAGAGGTGTGGAAGGGGCTGCACCATCCCCCAGGATGTGGTAGAGTTCTTCATAGTAGGGGCAGGAGTGGTGGCCTGCCCTGGAGCAAGAGCTGCTCTCCCTGGCCCTGGCATAGCCATGCTGGAGCTCTTTCACTTTGCTCTGTACCTGCTCAATAGTGAGATAGTGGCCCCTCATGGCCAGGATGTTGGCCATCTAGCCATAGATGTCAGTGTTATGGCATCTGGAGCAGAGATCCTAGAGGGTTGCCAGGATCTCTGCCCTAGACCAGGATGGCATATTTCTCTTGCAGCCCTTGGCAGGCTCCTGGGAGCCCTGTGCATGCTCTCTGTGAGGGCCAATGGGCTCTTGGGGGGCTTGTGGCTGGGACATTGGTGCCCAGATGTATGGTAGTGGCAGCTATGAGGTGTGTTGCAGCTCCCAGGGTCGGTTTCCTGCCACAAGCCCTGTCCTGGGTGTCTGCAGCTTTAACAGCTGCCGGGAGACAGGAACTATGGAGTTGTGATGAGTGTGGATGGAGTGGTCAGCAGGTAACCTGTGTTATTTTCTGGAGGCCTCTTTTTTCAACAGAATCTACACATGCCTTTTTCCAAAAAAGCTTTTTCCGAAAAAGCCTTATTCCTCGTAGAATGAGGTCTACCACCATCAGAAAAAGCCCTCTGTTATTGCAACTTTTTTGTCAAAATAATGCAATTGCAGTGTGGATACTAGTATTGTTTTTCCAGAATAATGCCCATTATTCCAGAGAAATGCTGCAGTGTAGATGTACCCTCAATCTCCAGCATGGAACTTCTGCAGCTGTTGAGGGAGAAGTACCCCTCCCCCAGTAAGGCATCTCCCTGTGAAGCAGTCCCTGAGCATGTACGTATGCAGAGAAGAAATCTGTGGCAGCAATGATCAGTGCACAAATAGCAGAAAAGTTGGTGACAGGTTTTCCAAATGTCAACATTCCTTTCAGAATGTATCTTGCCATCTTGGGAACAAATTGTGAAGGGGAGCACTCTTTCAAAGTTGAGACATATAAAGAACAGTGATCATAGATTAAAAGGGTACAAAAATAGTTTGGAGTATCCTGACAACCATTGGAACCAGGCTCAAGAAATGTATGAATGGACACAGAATTCAGGCAAGACAATTCAGGCAAATGCATTGGGCCTCCAGGAGAGAAGGAGCAAGGCATAGTGCTGGGGCCCACAATGAGTTCTGAAGGCAGAACTGGTCCTGAAGTTGCAACTTGTGATGAGGTTTGGGGAGGATTCCCTCCACCGTGAAATGAAAAGGAAAAGTGTAAGATGATGAGTCACTAGACTCTGCATAAGCCATGTGCATTGATGAATCATTCCTGGGCTCGGCTCAAGCTAATCCACAAGGCAAGATCTGGGCTGGTGACGCAGAGTAGGTAATGTAAGCCTCACATGTAAGAAGGAACAGCAGCCCAGTCTGCTCAACATTGCTCCAGGGCTTGGAACGCTCCTTGGCTTTATAGTAGCAACAGCCTGCTCCAGCCTTGCTCTTGTTTCAGCCTTGTTCCTAGTCATGCTTTAGCTTTGCTGTCACTCCAAACTCACTCCAGATTCTGAACTAGACTCCTGATTCTGGAGTCCATAATGGCTATTGATTGCTTGTAGAGCCTATATCTGGAGCAAGTGTACCTAATGGGCTTCTGGTAGATTTCTCAATGCAAGTGCAAAGGCTAGGAAGTTGATTTTCAAACCATAGTTGCAGGAATACATCAGGTCATGGAAGTGTTCCCACACATGGAAGGAACCTTTGCACAGAATGGACATGACCTGCAGTTTACAAGAAAGGAACAAGTTGCCTTCTCTAGAGAAGGATGTGGTGAGAATCTGCCAGTTCCAATTCAGCTTCTATCTTTGAAATGCCTTCCGGCATCATGGTTAGCTTTAGCAACTTACTTGAACACTGATACCAACCCTACCAATTGGGGCACATATCATCCAGAACAACAACAGTAATACTTAAACTGTTCCCACTTCTGGATTTCTTGGATCGTGGGTCCTTGATTCCAAGGGTATGTCTCAGTGGGTATGTCTACACTACCCCGCTAGTTCGAACTAGCGGGGTAGTGTAGACATACCCACTGAGACATACCCTTGGAATCAAGGACCCACGATCCAAGAAATCCAGAAGTGGGAACAGTTTAAGTATTACTGTTGTTGTTCTGGATGATATGTGCCCCAATTGGTAGGGTTGGTATCAGTGTTCAAGTAAGTTGCTAAAGCTAACCATGATGCCGGAAGGCATTTCAAAGATAGAAGTGCCTTGCAGATAAGTCATTACTGGCCGATCATAGTTAGTGATATCCAGTCCTGGATCAAGCAATATGCCCTACCCAATGGCATATTTCTTCAGTCCAGTGCTCCTTTAATTTGCATCAGTGTTTCACTCCCAGTGGGAGACTTAGCGTTGCACTTCAGAAACTGCCACATTGAACTTCCCAGGCCATTTCCTCACAATTCTTATTTTGGGAAGTGGGGTTTAAACCCCAAGAAATGGTTTTATTGTAAATGGCTGGTGCATGTGTTTTAGGAAATTGCCGTGATTTCAGAGCTATCAGTGAGTTGGGCATATCCCGGACTGTGGGCACACTTGGTCCAGCCCAGAGTTGCACATAGAGTGCCAAGACAAACACCCAAAAACCCTTGGGCTGTGTAGTATGAGTTCTGTTCACTTGGTGCCAGGGAGGAAAGTAAAGGTGGGCAGGCACAGGGGAAGTGGGGACTCAGATCCTTTAGTCATTTGGTTCAGGCAAATGTGTCCATAGAAAAATTCCCCTAGTACAGTAGGAAGAATCCCCTGCTTACAGACAAACAGAGCTGGAGGCTGCGGAAGGAAGGCCTGGACCCTGATTATACTAGCTCTGTATCTGCTGGAGAATCCCTGCCCTGTGTATCCCTAACAAGTGCACTGCCTGAATGCCACTTTGGGTTCGTCTAGACTGCAGGCTTCTTTCGGAAGAAGCTTTTCTGGGTGGGATCTTCCAAAAAAAGTCTTCCAAAAGAGTGCATCCACACTGCCAAAGCACATTGAAAAAGCGATCTGCTTTTTCGAAAGATTGCATCCACACTGAATGGACACTTTCTCGCATTTAAGCTGTGATTACTATGGATGGAGTAGCCACCAGAGCACCTGTGCTTTTTCCTCTTTCCTCTTCTTTTAAAAAAACTCTCTCTTCACGTCCACACACACCTTTTTCCGACAGCACTCTTTTGGAAAAGGCATTCTTCCTCATAGAATGAGGTTTGCCAATGTAGGAAAAACCCCTGCGTTCTTTCGATTTTCTTTTGAAAGAACGCAATAGCAGTGTGGACATAAGGGAAGGTTTTTTTGAAAAACGGCCATTTTTCTGAAAAAACTCTGCAGTCTAGATGCACTCTTTAAAGGGAGGTGATCAGGACTGAGAATCTTCCTTTAAATTTCTATTTTATTGCCCACAGCCCAAGTGCACCTTTACAGAATGCCCTAATGCTTGGGGTTCAAAAGTGGCTGTAAATTTGTGTAGATTTATTCATTGATTTGCATGATACAGCCCTGACAATAGTACACAATGAAACTATCGTCTGAATAGATGTTTGGGTCATATCTGCTCAGAAAGAATCTAAATCTTGATAACCTTGAGCAGTTATGATTAGGGATGTACAATTAAGGATACATAAGCAATAGGGCAAATATTTCTGGGGCAACGCTGATTTTATCTGCAAGTGCCTTATTTTTTCACTTGGCTTGATTTGATATTTCCTCTGTGTGAGCTTTTCCACAACCCTTTGCATTTTCATGCATCTTCCACTGCTGTCTGTTTTCCCCTTGAGGGAAGGTAATTGAACATACAGTGTGTCAGGAGTGACTCATTTAATCCAGTCAGGTGGTGATTAGGCTTCCAGAGCATTTGCATCACAGCAAGATGCTTGTGTTAGATTGTGCAGCTCAATATTACACTCAGCATTGAAGATTAAAATGAAAACTGGACGAAGCGTGACTCAGTAGCTGAAGGTGCTGGTATAGATAAGCAGCCTTGTCCCCATTGTCTTTTGCTGTGAGCGACAAAGATCTGTTAATTTTGCCTTTGCAGCTGATGAAAATGATATGATAGCCTGATTGAACCAGCAATGACCTGCATATACACAATGCCTGTACAAGAATAAATAAAAAGCAACCTCTTCCAAGAGTCCCGAGGAAGGCTGTGTAGCACTCGGCAGCTCTTTGTTCACTGCAGCATACTGCACAATATGCTGTGGAGAGGTTTTGTCTTCTACGATTTTTTTTATGAATGATAAACTGGGAGGGGCATAATGTCATCAGATCCTGATGTCAGCACAATGAATGAAATGCTTGCATAGCATATTGCTTCAAGACCAAGAAAACAGACACCAACTCAGATTGGCTTCCTAGAACAAATTGTCTTTTGCTGACGAAATCACCATTCCCACATGTGATGAATAAATCATATAAGTTAGGATTTAGATAAGCATGAAGATACACATGGAATAATGCAAAACTGATCTTGTTATACTTCCCTTTAAGAGGTGTTAGTGGATCACCCCTTCTGCAGACACTGTTAATGGGCTCAGTCAACTGAAGATCCGTCACTGTCATTTTTGTTGTTTTCCATCTAGCCAAATGTTCTGCTTTTGTCTGCAGAATTCTTTGTTAAAGCTACAAGCCCTTGAAACTGACTTGTGCTCTGCATTTTTGCCAACCCAGGAAGAAACTCCTCAGCTGCAGGCTTTCAAGGATTCAGCCACTTCATCACTCCAATCCACTGTGCAAGCTGATGGGGCCAGTTCCAGAGGTAAGCTGCTATGTCATTCTGTGTCCTCGTTTGCAATTAAAAGGTAGTCTTATGTTCCAGTATATTCTAATATTTGTAGCCGTATGGATCACAGAACAGATTCAATGTGAAGGCTGAAGCACAATGAGATGCTATCAATGCTAACAAATGTAAACAAAGGGATAAGATGTACGAGTAAGGGTGGACATAAATGACAACAGTCTTCTACTTTTCTAAGGTACAGCATTTTGCTTTTGAGGCAATCTTAAGAGTTCACATTTCTTCTTCTGTTTGACCTGTCTGTTTCTTTCAAGATAGCTACATTCTTTATTTCTGTACTGTGCTATATCCACATTGTGTGTGATAGTCTGCCATTTCATGTCATTCTGTTTTGCCATTTTTTGTCAGACCAATGTCACTTCATTTCTCCTATTATTGATTTTAATTTAATGCATCATCATGGAGATAGTGAAGGTGAGTTTCACAGAACCTTGATTTTAATCATTCAGGAATCTGCCTTTGTCCATCTTGCATAGAATAATGTGCCCCCTTTTCTTTTATTAACTCTACACACTGAAACCAATTCTTCCAAATGAATGGCCTTAAGGTTTGGCATAATGTTCTGTCACTCATAGCATATATTCACAGAGATGGCAGAATCATGATTTTAGGCAGAAGAGGAATTATTGTTTCTGAATTATTAGTTAATAAGACTGATATACCATACAGTGAAATGAAATGTAAGCTTACATGTTTGTACGGTCCACATTAAGGGAAACAGTTCAGTAATATGAGGCCTCATCCTAAGTCTTCAAGGTAAAACTTATGGATAAAAGAAAGCTGAGTTCAGAAAAGCTTGTGCCAGAGGCTGTTGTTTGTTTGGATTTTTCGTGAAAGGCAAGTATTATATTTAAACTATTTTTATTACTTACACTAATCTACTTCAGACTTGCTCAGATGATGGCAACCTATTGCAAAAAAATAAGGAATACTTACACATAACCCTAATAATTGAAAATCTAAGCAATGCAGCCAAAACCAGAGATTAACATTTTGGCTTCTGAGTTTATTAGGTTGTTTGGGTTTTTACAGGGTTTTTTCTAGCTGTTGCAATATAGGTCAACAAAACCCACCTGAACAGGTTTCAAATATGAATTAATGGAGATTGCCTATCTCCTAGAACTGGAAGGGACCTTGAAAGGTTATCAAGTCCAGTCCCCTGCTTTCACAGCAGGACCAAGTACTATCCCTGACAAATTTTTGCCCCAAATGGCCTCCACAAGGATTGAACTCACAACCCTAGGTTTAGCAGGCCACTGCTCAAACCACTGAGCTATCCCTCCCTGCCATGCAACTATTAGAATTCCTAACAGTTGTAGTCTCCCACTTCAATATTTGAGTCAATAATGGAGACCATGAAAATGCTACAGGGAGTAAAGATGTCTTGTAGTTTGTACTAATATTGCATTGGCTCTTCCGTTCATTGGCAGACTGATTTTTTTGTCCTTTTCCAATTTAACACAAATATGTTTCTTCATCGATTTCTTAATCGATAATCAGAGGGCGCTTGATCTTTAATGGACTACTCTGCAACCTTTACCTTTCATTTGATTCAAACTGCATTTAAACTGTTAAAAATCTCCAATTTAATAACAGTTACGGTACCAGGGCTGGCAATAGGCACAAAAACGCAAGACTGGCCACACAGTGTCAGAACAAAGGTCCATCTAGCCCAGAGGTCCCCTATGCAGTGCCTGCGGGCGCCATGGTGCCCACCGGGGCATTCATGTGCATCCGCCAAAACATCTGGGCTGGACCCACCCCCAGCGCGCAACACATGCGCGGTGCCAACACATGACATGTGGGCGGCCCTGCTCCCAGGCGCGCAGCGCATGCGTGGCCCCAGCCCCGGAAGTGTGGAACATGAGCGGCCCCGCCCCTGGGTGGCTGGCAGCCATGAAAGGTTGGGGACCACTGATCTAGTCCAGTATCCTGTCTTCTGACAGTCTACAGTATCAGGTGCACCAGAGGGAATGAACAGAACAGGTTCTAACAAACAGAAACTATGGGCACCATTCTTACCCATACTAGCTAATAGGTTTGAGGGACCTAACCTCCATGAATTTATCTAGTTCTTTTGTGAACTCTGTTAAAAGTCCTGGTTTTCACAACATCCTCTGGCAATGAGCTCCAGGGGTTGACCATGCATTGCATGAAGAAGTTAGGTCTCCTAAATTGCAAGAAAACTCAGTACAAATTCAGAAATAGTTCCAGGTCAATCAAATCTGCATTTTTTTCAGTGAATAAACCGCAATATTCAAAATTTTATAAGTGCATAATTTTAATATAAACATGATAACATAATAGATTTCACTTCTCTTCACATTCCAAATAACAAAAGTAAAGGAAATATCATTTTTGTGAACCAATGCTAACTAAAACATATTGGCAAAACAATGCAATGTTCAGGACAGCAAATGTTTCTAAGGTTCTCAAAATATTTAGTGACTTTCATTATACGAGTCACTGAAAACAATGTGAGACAGACATGTCCAAATTTATTTATAAAGCCATGACTTCTTGAATCAGTGTTTGTATAAAAATACTGGGATGGATTACTAGGGAGGCAAATGAAGCATACCGAAGTTGCTAATGAAGCACGGGATTTAAATATCCCACTCTTGATCAGCATATTCGCAGCCGGTCGCCATTTTAAAATGCCGGTCACCCGAATTAACTCGCCGAGTGTAGACGCGGTAGTCCGATCTAAAACCCTTCTCTCGAATTAACTGTTACTCCTCATTGCACGAGTTCAAACAAGGGGCAAGTGTAGACATACGCTTACTTGGAGTGGCTGAACTAGAAGAACTTTACATCTTTTACAAAAAATGACAACTGTTGCAATCAGTGACACAGTGTGTGTTTGAATACAGATCTATATTATACCAATAGACAGTGTATGTGGCTTTTCACATTTGAAGGGTGGTAGATAATTTTTATGTTATTTAACTGTTTAGAAAAATACTTCGAGAACACAAACTTGAAATTCTTTCTGTGATAGTTTTGATGTTCCCATTGTCCAGGCATTTTTCATGTGTTGCTAGCTCTTGTCTTAATGTCAGATTAAGAGCTCTAGTTTAGTGCTTATATTACACCAGAGTGTCAGTTTAGGATAGATGTAGTATTGAAACCAGTTTGCTGGTTTGGGGTAAGGAGGGTTTTAGCTTTTGATTTTTCACTAACGTCAGGTCCAACTTGTATGCACAGACACAGGCACAGGCTAGCATAAGTGTTGCCTCATTTGTTGGTCTAAGCTAAAGGCTGGAATCCTTTTGAGGACCCAGTATGTAGTGTACAGTTGAGGCCAAGATTGGAGTCTGTCAAGCGTGGGGCCAGCTTGTGAATTTGGATTAGTGCTGGGCTACCAGGAATTTAGGGCTCTGGCCATGGCCAACTTTAGGCTGTTTTATGGGGTCTATCTAAGATTGTGTTTGGGTCCTTTGGCAAGGGACATTCTCACCTCTTGTGAGCACTCTTTGGGGGATGGATGTGAACCTGAACACTCTCTCTCTTGTTGCGGTACTCCCCATCTACCGTTGCCTTTGTTAGGTGGGTCTTCAGCGGGTTAGTCCTCCAGCCAAGTCATACACGGTCAATATGTATGAACACACAAACCCCTTCCAGGGTAAAAGATCAAAAAATAGTTGTCCCTGTGCTCTTGGTAATGTCTCTGGGCTCAGTTCTCAGCGTCTTCTCAGATAGCTTTAAGTCTGTGTCTGCCCTGTTATAGAGAAGTGCCCCAAGGGCTCTGTCCCTAAAGAGTTCTTAAGTCATGCCCTTCATTTGGATCTCTAAAAAACCTCATCTCCTGGGGCTAAGGCCACCCTACCAGTGGCCAGGGGGAGGAGGACCTGGGTGGGTCAGCTACTCCAGGTTACAACCCAGTGACCCTATAATTAGCCATGTGCTGCTTCCTGCAATAGTTTCTGCTGCTATTCCCTTGGCCACTTCCCAGGCAGTTCTTTCCTCTTCATCCTTCCCTCAGGGTTGAAGTTCTTCCTCCCAGAATGCCAATGTTAGCAACATCTGTCTTCTGGTGCTCCCTGAAAATCTATTCTCTCCCCTGATTGGTGTTAATGTCCTGGCAATTGGGTTTGCCCTTGTCTTCTCAGATGCTCCATTGATATGGCAACTAAGGCCCAGACAGCTAAACAACACTTACTTCACTTAGACTATGTCTCCAGCTGTGCTACTGTAAGACCTCTCAGTGTAACTGCTCCATGCCCACTGGAGAGAGCTCTCCTATGGACATAAGTAAATCACCTCCAACCAGTGGCAGTAGCTATGTTGGTAGGAGAAGTTCTCCTGCTAGCATAGTGTCATGCACATCATACCACTTATGCCATCAAACTTAATGTCACTAAGGGATGTTTTCACATCTCTGAGCAACACAAGTTTTGCTGACATAAGTGATTACTGTAGACATGGGCACAGTCTGTCATGAGAGCAAATAGTCCCCATCCCTCCTACACTGGGCAACAATGCAACATATGGGGGAAACTGAGCCACTCTGAGGACTTATAAAAATATTACAAAAATTCCTCTTTCATCATACCTTGTATTTTCCAGAAGTACAGATTTGTGAACAGCCTCCACTAAGAGCCCCAAAATCAGGTTCAATACAGAAATAATTTTGCTCCCCTTTTGACGTTCAGGGATCTACCAAAATTGTAACTGCCATTTTTTTTGGCATTGCAAACCCCAGTTCTTGCAATTCATTTTAATTACACGACTAGATGATGAGCAGCAGTCTCTCCCTCTCCCCAGTGATTCCCTATGTTTCTCAAAGATTGAAAATTATGTGAAATTTGAAAAAGGTTAATACAACTCATTCTAGAGGACAGCACAATATTGTGTTTGAGAAATAAAAATTAAAAGTAAGTTAGATTCCTGTTCTGTATTTTGCCTTCCAAATAACGAAGGGATTCACAGCCAGAAGGTAGTGCTTATCTTTGTTATGAAGTATTATTTAATATAGGTTTATTTCACATGTAATTGCTTGAGCAAGTCACTAACTTAAGTAGGTACAATGTCTTAGCCCTCATTTCTTCAAAATTCCTTTCTGGATATTTCACTGAAGGAAGGATTTGGATTGCTCTCATATTTTACAAATTCTGCAAAACAGAGTTTTGGGGAAGTCTCTTGCCATTGATCCTTGGTACCTGCTTATCACCTGGTGGGTGGTTTTTTGTTTTTGTTTGGTTGGTTGGTTAGGGAGCTTTTTCAACATAGATGTAAAATGCACTATAGTTGGTAACAATGAAAGTAATAAAAATACAATGTAAAGTAAACTTTTTGTTTTATTTACTTATTGTAAATCACTAAATCACTGTATTTGATGGACTCAGAAATGTAAAATGGTCATTTATATTGAGATACATTAAAACTATTCTATAGTGCTTACACTATTAGCTAAAAATTTATCCTTAATTCTGGAATAGGGTATTTTGTTGTTTTTAACATCATTAAATGCATTTGTAATATTTTATTTTGCATTTTTATTTTACTTGTTTTCATTTTAGGAGTAATATGAATAGCTCTGTTTGGAATATGAATTCCTATAGTGAGTATATATGTTTACAGAGTTTCATATTACTGATTCAGACAATATATGACATTAAAAACATGGGAGATAAAGGTTATAATGATTGCAAAGTGATGTGGTAAATATTAGAATTACAGACGCCCATGCAGCTCTCTGATCAGGCCAACATTAAGCAACAGCATCTTCCCCAGCAGGTGTATTAAACAATATAGCCAGTTCTCCTTCCATAGAAGCCTGAGGCACGACCAGTGTGATAAAGAGGAGAATTTGACCAATGAAGTAGAAATTATTAAGAGAACAACGACTGCATAAAATTACAAACCAGACTCTGGCCTTCTTTGTCACAACTATTGTTGGTCGGGAATTTTTCAGTGCAATAGATTTTCATCAGAAAATGCTGATTAGTTGAAACTGAAACTTTTTGCAGAAATAACTTGACTATAATAAAAGTTTCCTTGTGATGAGAGTCCCTTAATCACTCAGGCTTTGTCTAGACTTCAGAGTTTTTCTCGGATACCACAGATATCTCGGAAAAACTCTTCGGCATCCAGGAAACGTGTCCGCTTTTTCAGAACAGTATTCCTCATTGTATGAGGAAGAAGGCTCTTCCAAAAGAGGAGGTTTTTCTGACATTTGGCCCTGTGCAGAAAGGCCAAATGTTGGAAAAGCCTCCTCTGAAAAAACAAGTGGAAAAAGGTACCCAAATGTAAACTGCAATTTGCGTATTTTTTTCCAAATCTCCTTCTCCCTCTCCCCCCACAGTGTAGACATAGTCTCAGCTATTGCCTATTCTGGTGCTCTGTCTCTCCCTCTCAACCTGAAATTCCATGCTGGATCATGAATCAGGTAGAAAAAATGTGAAATCTTAGAATTTTTTTCAGGCAAAAAAAACTTTTTCTCCCCCATTGTACTCACACCCCATTAAATAATTCTCAAGGAAAGAGGAACCAGTATGAAAAGATTTATCAAAAGATATAAAATCCATGCAGAGACTCTTCATGTCCTGTTCTGACCCATAATTCCACAATTTAGCAACATTTGGTGTTGTGTTGCTCTGACATAGAATCATTTGGACGGTGTTTGATAAAATAATATTTAAAGTAATTTTAATCAATTTCTTTAGAAATCAATGTCCAATTTTCTGCTTTCTAAGAGGGAGGCCGCATGGAATCAATATTTCCCCATTGCTAAACCAACTCAGCTTCATTATCTAGTGTGCAGATGTTAATTAAAGTACAGTATAAGAGTTCCATCAAAATCTTAAGGGAAATGGTCTCTTTATTTCTGAAAGTCCTAGCCTCTTACCATGGGGAAATCCATAATTTAGCATTCTAAATTAACAGGAGTTGGAGGTATGTCATCTGAATTTTAATAACACCATTGATTAAAATCTCATTTTTAATTAAAATAAAAGGTGAAGAAACATTTTCCTATCTGCTGATTAATTGGGACCATTTTAA